TGTACCTGGATTGACTCAAAAGTACTTGAACAAAACAGGAACCCTATCCTACGTTTTAGATGCAGCTCCCAAGGTAACAGTTTTTTATTTCCGAAAATCGAAGCTTTGAATTTGTCATGTTTCTAATCTATGTAGAACTGGCTAGAAAAAATTATAGCCTTGAGTCACATGGAGTAATTTTTTAATTTCCAGATTATTGTTGCAACCACAATACTGCGAAAAAGGCATCTATAAAGGGTAGACTGATCTATGGAAACAGACTACCGTGAACACTGGAGGGTACAAGAGGACTTATATTCAGAGGTTGCCCAACAACTTATGTCCGTGGCAATAGGATGTATGTCAGTTAACATTCTACCATGGTCCAGGAAACGACTTTGAACCCGTCTTAAATTAAAAATGTGAAGGACGTTAGATGATTCCAAAATTGGTGTTTGAAGGCTAGTTCTGAAAGGAGTGTGTTAATGCACACTGGACAAGGCGGTATTCACCAGTATACTGCACTTGCAATGCAGTAGCTACCAAAGGTTTCAGTGTCATTTCGTCGATCATTCAAATGCTTTGATGAAAATATGTTCTGGATTTTATAGTTCACCTATGTTAGACCTCACTTAGAATATTGAATCCAGGCAGCTAATTCACATCTCATTCATGATGTTATTACACTCGAACATGTCCAACAAGTGGAAACTAAGTTAGTCACGGGCACTTACAAACTCCCTTAAGATGAACGATTAAAAGATTTGATTCCTTCTCCTTTAATATATAACGCAAGGTGACCTTATATCTGTGTGCTAATGTGATATGGCAACTCGAACTGATGTACGTACATACGTACGTACGAAGTTCTACGTTGTTACTGACTGACTGACCTTATATCTGCATTCCGTATCTTAAATAATGATTTGGGTGTTAACATGTCTTCTCCTTTTGCTCCCTCCAGAACTAATAATCTCTGAGGATACTGCAGGAAGGTTCAAAAACCACTATCTAGTAAACTCAGAGTAGGATTCAGTCTTTCATACTGAGTAGGCACTAAATGGAATGCCTCCGTTAGAAGAATGATGGTGGTTGCGTTGGTAACACGAAAACTGACAGTGAAGAATGTGTCAGTGTAGTACATGCTGTCAGAGGATGTGTTAAACACCCAACTATGATTGACAGAAAAGTAAAATGTACGTTGAAACGAACGAGGAGTGAAGTGCTACTTCATATCAATATGGAAAGTCATGCCTCTACAGTAGGAACTGAAGACTTAGATAAAACCATCACCGTTATCAATAGCCCAAGTGTGGTTATCCTAAGTGACGAAAAATGAACGACAGTATGGAAACAAAAAGCGAAAAAAAATCTATAAGTGGCACGCACTTAGTTGGTAAGTTATTCGTGAACACCCATTCTGGGTCACAAAATACTCTACCAAAGTCTGAAAGTAAGACAGAACTCCACCCTAGCATGGCTGGGGAAAACTTAATCTCATCGAGTATTATCGTAAGTAATTTGCTAGAATCAAACGGCGCTGATCTCAAAATTAGACACGCACATGATTTGAAAAAGCTCGGAGAATTTATCCGTAGCATCTTTTCAGATAGCTCTAAAGGAATCCGGGTCAAGAAATCGGTAAGAATAGGTAAGAGGATGGATGAAAGTGTTGAACCCCGACCATGTAGACTCCTTAATGTAATCCTAGGGTCGAAGAAGCAACGCGATCTTCTGTTAATTAGCGCCTGTAGTCACTACAATACCGAAATTTGGATAAGACCTGATATATCTCTAGAAAGTAGAATAAAAAGACGGCACTAGCTGAACTAGAAACCCGTTGACAAAATGGTGAGGAAAATCTCCGTTTAGTGGGTTTTCGAATAGTCAGTTATTGGAAGTGTATGCTGCCAAGGCCTGTGAAGATAAATCGTTTCCCTATGAGTTTTATATGCAGATGCTCGTAGTCTAAGAAATAGATTCTATGAACTAGGAGCATTAGTAGACGAATAAAGGCGGAAACTTGGTTGGTCTACGACTTCGACTTTACTCCAGAACTATCTGGATACCACTACCTAAGAAGTGATAGGCACAGATGTAGAAAAGGAGGTGGCGTCCTTTTATACATAGTCAATAATATAAATATCCGCTTCTACGTTTGCGAACCCCATAATAGTGGAACTTGTGAATTTATTAGCTGTGAGCCCATTACCGGATATTGTACATTTATACTCCATGTCATCTATCGCAGCACAGTCTGTTAAGTCGATGACTTTATTTTAGAGCACATTTAACTATGGAGTGAAAATAACAGATGCTTGATATTAAGAGGCTTTAATGCACCTGATATTAATTGAATTGAGACGGCTACAGTAGGATCTGTAGAATGCTTTATAGTATGTTCTTGTCAACGGTAATAGAGCATGCATTAGTACAGAGTGTATTTAAACCCACACGTTTTGGTTCAAACCAAGGTTCTTCGTCAGACTTGGTAATCACTCATGCGACTGAGGATATTGCCGATCTAAGTATTCTTCCACCGTTAGCGAATAGCGACCACGTTGTTTTGTCACTCACGTTTAGGGCTAGCGACATGATATACGATCAGGTTAATCCTCACCCAAATGTATGAAGAGCTAAAGTATTCGCCATTCAAGAGTGCGCTGCGGATCGGTCAGTAGATGTTGGCTCATCAGTTGAAGAAGCATGGTATTTATTTAAAGGCAAGCTTAGTTCACTTATGTCCTCGTTTATACTATCCCTAGTACCACGTAGACCGAATACCTGTCCACCATAGATAACTAAACAAGCCAAGATACTTCGACGTAGGAAAAAGCATTGGAATGCATTCATCTCTACTGACTTAGAACAGTATAGATTCAGTTACTGCAAGACCAGGAATGTTTGTAAAGCATTGATAAGTAATACTCAGGATTCATATGAAAGACAATTGGTTAGGGATTGTAAAAACAATGCGAAGCGATTATTCTCGCAGATAAAATGCAAACTCAGAGAAGTGATGGAATCCCATCACTTTCGGTAGGAGAAAATCCCTTAATATTGGCGACATGATGCAGAAAAAGCTAAAGCTTTAAAGTGTTTTCTATCAGCAATGAGGAACGACCAACGATAGACTGTGATTGTGGCGGCTTGATGATGGATCTTTTAGTTATTGAGAAAGGTACTGTCTTAAGACTACTTCAGCATCTCAAACCTGATAATTCCAGTGATCCTGACGATATTCATCCGATGATTATGAAAGCTCTGAAGACTGTAATTGCTGGACCTCTGGCAATACTGTTTGATATATCTTTGAGGCATTCCAAACTGCCAAGAGACTAGAAAGGTACAATAATAAATCCAGCGTATAAGGCGTGGAGCAGAAACTTAGTAACTATCAATCTGTTAGTCTAACCAGTCTATTTGTCAAACCAATGAAAAAAATATTGTTCGGATGATCACTTTAAACTATGTGGAGGGACACGATCTTCTATCCAGGGAACAACACGGTTTTAGGAGAGGCCTACCATAGTTGACAAGTCTGCTCATTAAAAGGGAAGATTGAGCTGCAGCAAAAGGTAGTAATATTCTAGTAAATATAATCCCCATGGATCTAAGTAAAGCCTTTGATAAAGTCTCTCATCTGGGTCTTAAATTAGAACTACGATTTGAGATCCTTATGAAATCATAAACTGAATAAATAACTTTCTTAGTGATAGGAGACAGAGGGTAAGGGCAAGTAGAGCTCTCTCAACATGTGAAGAGTGGAGCTGTCCAAGGTAAAAATTTTCGGCCCTCTTATTTTTTTACCTTATACAAATGTCATACCAATTGTATCAAAGTCATTTGTCCTACTCTTTGCCGATGACATAAATATTTAGAGACCCACAAACAGTATGTCAGAAAGAATATTACGAGACGACCTAAGTTCATTGGTTGCATGAATGAATAGGTGGTCACTAGAAGTAAATTTTAACAAGTCTAGTGATGCAAATAAATAAATTTGTCGATTTATATCACTACACAATATGAGGAGTAGTGTTACCTAAAGTAGTAGACTTTAAAGATTTAGAAGTCATAATAAGCCACGACCTTAGAATGAAGAGTAACTGTGAGGCTATCGCTGTCAACAGCCTTAGGATTTTAAAGGCTATTCATAAGTTATTTCATTACTTAGACGAAAAAACGTTTAGGGTATTATACCCGACTTTCGTGAGATTGAATTCAGAATGTGGAAGTCAAGCAGCGAGTCCGTGTTTCAAGTATAAGGCGCATATGCTGGAACGAGTCACACGACGAGGGACTAAAATGGTAAAAGGTCAATCTGGTCTATTTTATGAAGACAGACTAAGACACCTCAACCTATTTCCGTTATCTTACCACATATTACGGAGTGACCTAGTATTGGTTTGTCGTATACTAAACGATGACATTAGTATTAATGTATTGTCTTTTCCTTGCGTTTAGGATTGATCATTTCAGAGGACATTCTATGAAAGTTCAAAAACTGAGATCAAATCGTCTACGTTTGGAGTTTCGTTTCTCGCGCCGAGTGGCGAATTACTGGAATTCTCTACCAGAACGTGTAATATCAGCAGCTTTTGTTGATACATTCAAAAAGAGATTGGACCTACACAGTGTTACAAACTGCAAGAATTTATATAGGTCGATAGACCTCCTATACTTATTGCTGGAGAACAGGTAAGGTACTAAATTTTCAAGAACTGAAATTAACCTGGAGATGAAACAGTTAACAAATCGAAAGTATCTGAGTGTTATATGCAGCCAGCAAGTTTCTTTTTCGAAAAGTTGGTAAACAGTGCGGTTCACAGAATTTCCACTTCAAGGGACTTCCAAAAAATTAAACGGGGATAACCTTCAGAGTTTTTTATTTCCTCTTTAATGTCAAACACGATAAAGTAAAACTATTCTCACAAGTATACAAAGAATGAAACAATGAAAAATGCTAAATAACGTTTGCTGATACCAATTACAGTTTAGAACGCAATAAATCGGCTTACTTTAGTATATGGACTTGTGAAACAAGCTACTGAATATGTAAGTAACAGTAGGGCATTTGCTACGATCTCCAAATAAACCATTTTAGCGATAATTCATAACAGAACATGAGCCTTGAAAAACCAAAGCAGCAACCATCAGAAAAACAGAAGTTAGTTGTATTAAACAAATATTTTGAAATAATATTTCAGTTTTCGGGATCTAAAACAGAGCTGTCTAATTAATAAAAAGTACGTGAAACAACACTGAATTCTGGCTAACTTATCAGTTAAGCTGAATCCACACTCACCTCGAAAATCGAATAAATTTCAGATTCAGATTTGTGTAGTAAGGACAGAAGGCCTATGGCCTATGTTATTCTTTTTCTAGTATGCTTCTGTGAGTTGCCGGTCCTCTTTTGAAAGAGTCAATTGAAGGTGCGGATACCACTGGCAGCAGGTTCCAAGTACTGATGACTCGGTGTGACAACCTGTATGCTGCTGGTATTTTGTTCGTTCTTGGCTTTTCTACTCGCCTGCTATGTCCTCTGAGATGTCCCGATCTAGTTGGAAGAAAAAGAGCGAATAAGTTGGGTCCGAAATACTTAATCCATTTTGAAAGAGGTCCAGCAATACCGAGGTTTTCCAACTTCAATATCAGCCTATTAGGTGGCACCTTGTCAAAAGCCCTACTGAAATCTATGTAGACGACATCCAATGAGTTTTCGTTGTCTAGCGCATTTACCCGAAATTCCCTTGCTATAAGGAGGTTCGTTGTACAGGATAGACCCTTTCTAAAACCATGTTGTGCCATGTTCAGCAAGTTATTGGTTTCCATAAATGCCTTTATGGTCCGTTTGATTATTCTTTCCAGTATTTTAGTTACAACACTGGTGAGGCTTACGGGTCTGTAATTCGATGGAACTTGTCGTAGACCTGTTTTATGTATGGGAGTGACGATTGCGTCCTTCCAGTCCATAGGTAACACACCTTGGTCAGGTGACATATTGAATATCACAGTCAGTGGGGCCGCGATATATTGTGGAATACTGTGGTGTTTGAATTAACTAATGATTCTTTTGTACTTGTTGAATGCTCGATTTCGAATTCTAAATACAGTACATTCGTTGTGCCTGTGTCTTCTTAATTCAGTTGCGTTAATCCTGGGATTCCTAATTCATACTATAATTAGAATACTATATTGGCGTCGCGATTGAGCCTGCAATGGAAAAGTTAGATATTCATTCAACTTCAGAAGCTTTTGAAGATTACTTTGAAAGGTTCGAAATCTGGGCTATGACCAAGGAAGATGATGAGGATGTTAATATTGTGGCACACTTCCTCACATTCATTGGAAAAGAAGCATACAGCTTATTAAGAACTCTGACTATGCCGGAAAAACCCATTTCGCTTTCTTATACAGCTCTCAAGGATCTACTGCTAGACTATGCTCAGTATACAAATTTCAAATGTCGTAAAGGAGGAAGATTTCGTAAAATGATTCATGAGGATATAAAAAAGTCCACTACATTACTACGTCATCTCAACCTAGTGCATACTCAAGGTTATGCAGACAATTCATTGAATTTGGATGCAGTTCACGAGGATGGGGACAAGTTTGGTCAGTGTTTGTCCTGTTGCAAGTTCCACTCTTCTAATTCATGTAAATTTCATAATTCTAAATGCTTCAAATGTCGTGATATTGGACAAGTTCAGTCAGTTTGTAATGCTAATGTTCATCTTACTGCAATTAATATTAAGTCTTGTAATTCTGATTCTACTGAGTCGAGTATTCATGATGATCATTTATCTTTATCAACGATTTCAAAAGACAGTGCAGAGTCATATGGGAGTTCAGAGTTAAATGAAATCCAGAATTCTTGTGAGACAACATTTCCTAATCAACCGATTTATCAGAATTCTCATGCTATTGTACCAAGTATGACTTTTCCTAATGATTCACATATTTCTAATGAAATTACTTGCAATTCTGAGGAAAATATGTTAAATGAACCTAATCATGATCGAAAACCTGATGTGGTTTGGATAGATGCTGATTTTTCTAACGATCCTACGCTCTGCAACGACAGCCCTGATGAATTTCATGAGAATATTTCAGAAGAATCAAATCCTGATGTCATATCATATATTACCTATCCTCATAATGTATTTGATCTTCGTGAAAAACCTGCCCAATGCGAAGCACGAGTACTAAGTGACCTCGAGTTTTATTATATTTCGGATGATTTCATATCAACTGCTGTTTACTCTTATCACAAAAACAGTTCTAATGTTTACTCTAAACAATGTGAGATATATGTTTTAAATGAAGCCACATTATTCATAACTTGGGAGTATAAAGATCCAACATTATTTCGTGGGGGGGGATAGTGTTGAAAAATCTATGGTTCGAATTCTAGATATTAATGATTTCATTACAAAACCGACATGCTGGTTGTATACAATTCCAGGTGAGTCTGTTCCGATTTCGTTTGTTAATTCCAATACTAATGAGCACTTTCTAGATACTACAAAGTTTTTATCTTATACAATGTCGGACAGACTCAGGATGAACTTAACAAGAAGACGTACAACCGATTACAAACACTTATACTTCTATTTAAGCTGTGGCGGATGTGGTGTTTGAATTAACTAATGATTCTTTTGTACTTGTTGAATGCTCGATTTCGAATTCTAAATACAGTACATTCGTTGTGCCTGTGTCTTCTTAATTCAATTGCGTTAATCCTGGAATTCCTAATTCATACTATAATTAGAATACTATAAATACGTCTCAATATTTTGGGGTGTAGTTCATCTGGTCCTGTTGACGTTTCCATGTTTAAAGTGCTAAGAGCCTTAAGCACATCGTCTTGATCGAAGTCCATGGTGAGCAGGTGATTTGTTGACTCTGTAATTGGGTCTGGTTCTTTCTCTAGAGGAGGTTCCTGAGTGAAAACTGTCCCAGCATAGTCAGCCATAGCCTCAGCTTTTTTCTGATCTTCCTCTATCATTTCAGACTCACTTCCTTCTTTAATTAGGCTGTGAATCCAATGAAGCATTCTTGTTCTGTAGTTTATGTACGAGAGTATCATCTTGGGCTGCTTGAGTGCAGATTGTACCAGCTGCATTTCATATTTTCTTTGAGCTTCCCGAATTATTGTCATACACTCGTTTCTGTAGCGTTCTATCGTACCTGCTGTGTCAAGGCGGACGGAAACATCCCAACATTTCTTCTTTTGTCTTAGTAAACGTCGAATACCCCGACCTATCCAGTGATGGCCGTGCTTCTTCTTCTTTGGGACTGTCCAGGGTATGTATGGTTGAGTTACGCGATTGTATGACTGCGTAAAAAGAGTCCATGCCTCTTGTACTGATGCTCTTGAGTCAATTTCCCAGTTTTCAGCCGATGCTGCGGAGTTGATTGCGTGCATATCTGCCTTCCATATGTTAGGACGGGCCGGGCGTCTGTTTGACAGGCAATCTCAGCCATGAATTGGAATAAGACGACTTCATGGTCACTTCTCCCAAGTGGTGGAGAAAAGCCATTTGATCAACGTCATCATCGTGTGTAAAGACTAAATCTAAAAGAGAAGAAGTTTCTTAGTCGTATCTTGCTGGATCTCTAATATGTTGGAATAATACTAATCCAATCGGGGTTTCTAACAGTTTGCAGTCAAACGACGATATCGATGACCCTACTTCTAAGTTAACCCAGTTTATATATGGTGCATTAAAGTTGCCTACTACAAGGCTTTTACCGTTGTTACACCAGGACTTAAGTTTACTTAGGATAAAATCATCTGCTACACATTCTAGACTGCGACATACTACAACTAAATCAATATCTTGCCGTTGGCATTTCAACTTACATCTCACCAGTTCACATGTCCCTGAAACATGTGCTACTGTCTCAGCTAATCTTATGGTTAGGGTACTTTTCCTGTACAGAATAACCCCGCCTCCCCTACGGTTTAATCTATCAGCCCTACTGGTTATGAAGCCAGTCAACTGGATTTCACTATCTAATGCTTCTGACGTTAACCAAGTTTCCGAGACAGCAATAACGTCCGGTTTTTCTTTATCCACCACTTACTTGAGCTCCGCCATTTTATGTAGTAAGCTGCGGGCATTTGTGTAGCACACCTTTAAGTCTGTGGACAGCTTTCCCTTGTCACCCAGAGTGGCTTGGGTATCGTTTTGCTCCGAACTTTTACAATTTGAAAACTCTTAAGAACGAAGTTTCTTTCACCGTTTCGGCGACGCTCGTTTATTTCCGCTTCTGCAGCCCTTCTCTTAATACGATCAGCTAGGCTGAGATCCTCACGGACATATATTCCGGATTCAATCAGTTTACGTGAATTACTTAGAATCAGGTTCCTTTCTTCTACCGTGTTGAATGTAACCTTCAGGAGGCGGTTTTTCTGAGGTCTTTCGGAAACCACCTTTTTCTTATTCTATAAAGCTAACAAATACTAACTCCTGAAAAGGTATCTGGGAGTAGTTTACTTAATGGTGTCTTAATATGATTGAGATCGTGTTCAAATCTAGCCTTTGGTTTTTTATCGGAAGATTCTCTTAACTTATGAGAATGAAAATGAGATCTGTCTTGTCACGTAGTGGTACCGTCTCTTCCAATGACTTGCTGACCAGCTGTGTTTGGCCTACAGCTTTTTCCTTCTCATTTCTTTTTCTCCGTACTGAAGTCCATTTATCACCACTCAGGACAGCCACATCGGGACTATTTGGAACGGTGACAGTCTTATCCGGGTCTTCAATTTCGACTAGAGGTGTATGATTGCCGATGTCAGTATCTAGCGGCACTTCACTCCTCGTTAATATTAACCGAGATTTCTTTTTCCCGTCAATCGCAGTCGGGTATTTAGCGGGTCCGGTAGCAGCACTTACTACACTGAGTTAGGCTTCGAGCATCTTTTGTGTGCCATAGGACTTAGGCGTGTACTCATTTTATGGTACCACTTTTTACAATCATCGCACTGCATCCCCTCCTCAACGGGGAACAAGCAGCATGGTTGTCCACATTTATGAGTCTTACCAACCATTTTAATTTTGATTAAAAAGGTTTAAAACACCAAATGATCACCATGTGAACACTAGTGTTAGTCAAGGAGTAAAAAAGGTACCACAGGACAAACTCGAGCAAAAAATTTCAAACTTTAACCAAAGTACTTTTAGTTAAAGTAAACCAAGAATGCTTTATGGTGCAACAAGTACCCAAAGCAAGGATAACCACAACAAAAAATCACTGCCCTTTTTGAAACCATATGCCTTTAATAAAGATACCACTGTGGAGTGTACCAGCTTGCCGGATGAAAAAGAACGAATGAAGAGAAAATGCTCAGAAAGATATGGTTCGCAAAAATACTGACCAATGACGAAGTTGATGTGCTACAAAGTCTACACAAGGTCAGGTACGGATAACGGCCTTGAACGAAGTAGTAGCCTTCGCTTAACGAGGGTACGTATCTAGAAGCAGTGGGTCACCGGTGACTTCAGGTAGGAATGTAGGTGTATTTTGCGATACAAAACAAAATGTTCGTAAATTATAATCAAACACTGACCTGAGTCCCTAAGAATTAGTTAAGTTTCCTACACAATTAGATTATCATGGAGCAGCAATTTACATTCAGAGGAGTGAGAAGCGCATCGCAAACATTCTGGCATTGTTGCCCAGTGCTACCAAAGGATTCTGCATTTTATCACCATCTTCACCAGACAGAACTATGTCATCTGTGTATTCTAAGTCGATAAGTGGACCTCGCGAGGTCCTACTATAGTAGGAGATCAATTCCTGAAAATTCAGTCGACGGGCAAGTTACTTCCATCAGTATGTCTATGATGAAGTTGAAAAAAATTGGAGATAGGGGACAGCCTTGTGATACATCACTTGATGTTGTAAAATCTGATGACAGTTCGCCATAAGTTATTACTCGAGTGGTGGTGTTCGACTAAAGAGCCTTCACAAGTTCTACGTACTTCTTAGGTACACCTTTCAATGACAGACACTGCCACAGAACCTCTTGGTCAACAGAGTCAAATGTTGCTTTTAAGTCACGAGAAACTACCATTGTCGGATGCTGATACGTATGTCTGTGTTTTAAAACCTGACTAATGGTGAATGTGTGGTCGATTCAGCTACGACCAGGGCGCTTATTTCTCCACTGCTGTTTGTATATCTTTCCGAGCAACATCTGGGTCAGCCTCGTTTTCAGAATCGCCTAAGTGTAACCTCCGTTGTTCATGGAATCTACTTTTGGCTTTGTCGCTACTGAGTTTAACTCGAATGGTCTTAATGTGGTTTTCCTTCATCCACTGAAGCACAAACATATGCGTGCTCGTATTAAAGCATAATCAGAGTCTGAATATGTGCTCCAAAACAAGCAGAATTCTCCTGTTGAGCCTCCAACGATGAGTGATGACTGTGAACGAAACCATTCTTTCCTCTTATTTCCCTTGTTCCAATAACTAGGGTTTAAACACCGGTTTCGTAGATGAAGCTTCTTAATTTTTCATCCAGTGTAGTCAATCCAATTACATTTGTTTTTCGAGTTTACATCAATAAAACATTAAAATATTTGAACTGAGTCTTTGTCATCAACACAAACCATTAAATTGTATTAAAATACCATGGGTAGTGTTCACACTGAATAATTTACTGTAACCAAATTTCAACCTAATTGACACTGGTTTGGTTCTCATGAACTGTAATTTGAGATTGCATTTCCTCACTAATCATGTAAACAGGTCATTCTGAATACATTTTCAAGGCTGTATGTACCATCATTTTAAGGATTTAAATATCATGTCCTTTTGTGATGTGATATCAAATAAGATATAATAATGCAGATTAATGTACTTTAAAGGTTAATGATAACTAATCAGTGTCTGCAGAAAAGCTTTTAGTTATATGTGGAGAAATTCGATTGTCCCACTTTTACTTGAAGCTTATGTTGATAATGTTGTCCAGGTGATTAATAAAAGCTTCATGATTAAAACATCCAGCTCAGAAAATTGAAGTCCGCCAAGAATGTTCGTCATGCTTAAGTTGGTTATATTAAGCGGCATTTCTATTTATAGTCTACTAAAAATGGGAAATAGTCTTAAATGATGTAGTAATATGAGTGGAAGTGATGTTTATCGAAGTTGAGTACGAGTAATGAGCTGCAGGTTTAATCCATGCTCCATTTATGTTGATTTGGCTAACTGATAAGTTACACTATCAACACAAAACATAACTTCCAACTATTATTCAGATATATACTGTTACTGAATTAGTATAATTAAAAAGTAGGTAATTAATTGAATTGTTCTTATTCATTGGTTATGTTGTGGATTTATAGTTATATATATATATATATATATAGTTCAAACCCTAATCTTTCCTATTACTACTTATACTTTTACTACCTCTACCACTATGGGATTTCAATGGACAACTGCATCTCTCTGTCAATGTGGTATGGCAACTCGAACTGACGTACGTACGTACGAAGTTCTACGTTGTTATTGACTGACTGAACAAGGTGGTCCGGGGCACTGTTAGAGGTATAAGGGTGGTTGTGACTTCTCGGCTGCTCACACCGTGGAAGAATCTCTCTTAAGTGACCTGCAAAAGAAGCTGGATTAGTGGTTGTTCCAACGACTTGGGAACGTCGCTGCAGAGTCCAAATTACAACTGCTTGAGGCTGGTCGCTCTCAGACATTTTATGTGAAGTTTTTGATTTGTTAGCTCCAAATAACAATAGGCCTTACTACCGGATATGGAAATCCGTGAGCTAAGGTTAGGTGTGACAGTTTAGGGTCATCCTTTTTCAACTTCTTCCATCTGTTATCACAAGGCAGCATTACCGCAGGTACCGGTTATCCGGGGGAGACTCCTTGCTACTGTTGCACCCCTCCACAGTCAGCAATACAACTTCTCCCTCGGACATTAAGTTGATGCTTTTAATCTTACCATTCTCCTACCGACTTGCCTGGCGTAGTGGGACCTAAAGGAGCATGTGTCTGAGCCAATATAGTTCTGTTGTGTCGTCACGATAGGCATTCTCGATCGCGACTTCAGGGTAGCAGCTACGGTCGGGATAACATCTAGTTAGCTAGTTATGTTTTTCATAACCACTTTGTTGTAATTATTGCACTCTGTGAAAGCATCATATTATAGTTAGAAGTAATTATATAGAATTCAAAATGCGCGTGGTCAACTTACTGATCGACAATATAATTATGTTCTTGACCACCTTAGCTTTATTCCTTTTATTTTCTTACTAGATGGGTTTAACTAAAAGAATTGTGTCTCCAGCTGATTTACGTCAATGGACTTCTTCTATCGCTTGTAATGAGGTTCTTAACCTAATAAATAGTGTCAATAGTAAATTGGTCTCTCGTCCAATCCAGGATAATTTGAAATCTTCTAAGGTGTTTTGGAAGTTACTATTATAAATGTAACTATTTCAGGCCATAATGTTGGTATGTGAAATGCTTGACAAGTTACAGCAAGCAATTAAAGATTACCCACCTGAGGAGCAGCCGCAGAGATTTGGAAATAAAGCATTTAGGCGATGGTTTACATGGTTACAAGAGAATGCCATTGAAATTGGTTCAACTATTTTTCATGATCATGGTACCACAGATTTCACTGATCCACCAAGTTAGTTCATTGTAAAACTAAAATATTAACTTTATTTGTTTTTGTATTTCTACATATTGATTTTTTTTCAATACCTTTCTTTGGGTATTGATGTGAGTTTTGGAAAATTCAATGGATATATTGTCGTTCCAGGCCTTTTATTGTCTTTTACTGACTGGTTAAAATTGAAAAATCTTCCTCAGTATTCACTTCAAATGACAATTTTGTTGTTCTTAAAATGATTATTTTAAAAGTTTGGTGTTGGTTCTAGTTGGACTGACTTTCTGTTTTTTATGCTTGTTAATTTTTGACATTATTACTATATTTTAAGCTTAAATCTGTATACCATTTTCTTCATTGTATACATAGATTTAACAAGTTGCAGGAATTTATGTTTTTCTCCGGAGATTTCGCTTCTTATTTTTAATTTTCTTCATATTCGTCTTTTTTAATACTATATTTTGAAAGACGGTATCCTTTGTAAGGCCTTACTTTTATTAGTACTTATGTCATTTTCGCAGTTTACAAAACTTCATGCTCATTCTTTTGTAAATTATCGATCCGAACTAATGATAGGGAATGAAGTAGTTGAGCGTGTCGACCGCTTCACTTATCTAGGAAGTTTCATCAGCCCTTGTGGTCTGATGTAGAACTGAAGTTATACGCTGTCACTAACTGCCTGACTGAAATTATCGGTGAAATTAATTCCATAGCAGGATATTAAAGCGTTAACCTACCTTATCCACTCGAGAAATTCAATATTGTAGCAAACTGTATATCTAATTCAAATCTGATGTAGTTTAGAAGATGTAAACTAGTCATTACTAGCTCTAATTCTCATAGTCACAATAACTTTCAACCATATTCGACAAATGAAAAGATTAGCTTTTCAAAACAAGTCATTGATGTCACTTATAGAGTGGTAGTTTTGTCATGCAGAGTTGTTTTAATTTCTCACAGTGCTATTAAAGATACCAATATGCGAATTTATTAACTTCAGTCTCAGAAAATATATTTAATTAGATATTGGTTCAGTTTTATATTACATTGGTTCACTGAATGAACGTCCATGCGATTCACCAGTTGTTTCAAGTTGAAAAATATTTTCCTGTTACTTTATCCATAATACTTCTTTGACTTTAGGTCATTTGTTTCTGGTCCCAAAATGTTATTTCTGTTGATATGCGTTTTTCGCTGAATGGCTTAAACACGTAAATCCCAACCATTAAATTATAGGCTTAAATCTGGCTCTGTCAAGGGCAGACGAATGATATTTTGAGTTTTTACCTAACAAATGCAATTCAATGTTAAGTGAACGCAATTATAATTATGTACCAACTACTAGAAACCATACTGTTGAAATAGAGCGAACATTTCACAGCATAATTATGACTAAAATGGCTTTGATACGTAAAAAGTAGCTCCATTTAACTGTTTAAAAAAGACCACCTCGAAAAATTATACCGTTCGCTTTAAATAATTGTACAACAGATACATGAAAGTTAAGCATAATTAAATTCTTCAAGTAAATATGCTTACTTTGTCACACATCTTTTGCCTTTGAATTCTACGTTCCATTATAGATCATAACTTTCTGCCAGAGCTGATACTGTTGAGATTAAATTTCTGGTTTCTACCCGATGGTTACTAATATTGCAATTTAAAAAGTACATTTTAATTTAACTGCAACTTGAATATCGTCTTATTTCAAGTAATAACTCCCACCCTACAGCCCCTAATTCGGTTGACGTCAAGAAGAGTTCGCTTTTCATCCCGATTATATCATACCACCGCACAATTTTAATTCTTTTTAGAGAATCACCAGTTAATACCTTAATTTGATTGTGGAAGTTTCTATATAAGGGAGTTGTAAAACCTTGATTCCAAACTAGTGGTACATATGAGATCTAGGATTAAAAAGAATTAATAAATGACCACTGACTATCCTAAAAATCCATTTACTAATGTGGGTTCACTGCTTTTTTTGGATTAAACCTAGAAGTCAGAGGCTTTGGGATGTGATTTATGCAAACCACGCTTGGTTAGAATCTCTAATCAACATTCATGGGATTCATTTTTATTTTAACTTGTACTATGAGTACATTTATTCAAGGGATTTGTTTTCACGTTAAAACCTCAAAAACTCTGTACAATCTATCCTTTGTTTTGAATATTTTATTATTAGTTTTTATGTAAAAATTTAGACGATGTAATTTACTAACATGTATTATCTTTACATTTTAATTGTACCATTTTCATTCAGTGTTATACACCGAAGCAGTTGACGAAGTTTCCGGTTATTTAGTTGAATCATTTGGAAATTCAACACGTATCGATTACGGGACTGGTCATGAATTGGCTTTCTTAGCGTTTTTAACTTGTCTTTTCAAACTGAACATTCTAAAAACACAAACTGATTCTGGTGCATCAACTATAAATGATCTCCTAGCTGTTGGGCTTGTTGTAATGCCAAAGTATCTAGTATTAGTTCGTCTGTTACAAACAACATATCGTATGGAGCCAGCTGGCTCTCATGGTGTATGGTGTTTGGATGATTTTCAATTTGTACCTTTCATTTGGGGCAGTAGTCAATTGATTGGTAACTGGTTGCTATTTTTTAATAAGCATAGTATCGTATAAATAATCTGGTCGTAAGTTCTTACTACTATAAAATTTGTATTCAATTGTTCACTTGAAAAGGCGACAAATTCTTAAAAGTACGTTTTATTACTCTATTTAGGTCTGCATACCTCCTCTGGTAAACACAGGTATTAAACTATACAAAGATGGAGAAATAATACATATAACCCATTAACAAGCATATGTATATGTATTCGCCTTTAAGTTAAACTTTGGTTTTGTGTGGATGTTTATGTAATGCTGTTACCTGACTATACAAGTCGAAACAGGCGGGAAAGAGTTCGAACTCGTGACCTTATTGTTAAAGTTCAAATGTTTTAACCATCACTCTTATTTATTGAATAATGTTCCTTAATATAAGATATGGCTACTGCAATTTCAACATATCAGTACTTCACATTTAGTAATAAATTACCTGAAACATCCGAACTTTCAATAATATTGTATAATATTTAGTAGCTAATTTATGAAGGGAAATTTCATCCACAAATTTAACTTGGTTTTTTTCCCAACTCATTCAAAACTTTCAGGCAGTCAGCACAATCCTACCGTGATAACAGATCGTGATGTTGTTGAATTGGAGAAAGATAAATACCTTTTATTTTCATGTATTTCTTATATTCATCATGTGAGTAGTTTTAATTACTTATTGTAAAGGGTCTGTATGATCATTTTTGTTATGATCTCACTTGGCAACCAGCAAACAGTGTATAAAATCCCATATTCTATGTTTAAGACAGAAAAATTTTCCTGTGGAAAAATAAATTCATCCTTCCCAACCTTAGCTTCTACCTCAACAAGGCATTTGAACTTGTTAATCGTGAAGACTCAATCTAGCTACATTAGCTGGAACACATTTTCATTAATTTCTTGTCATACTACGTTGAAAAAAGGCTGTAAGAAGACCAGAAACAACAGATTTGCAATTCAGTGGTAAAATTTACTACTGTTTATAGTGTGTAATGACAGTGAGATATTTCTTACCATCCTCACTGTTGGTACTGCCTTCTCGCAGATAGAAGGGTAGATTAGAGATCAAATGCAACAATAACACACCTCATCAGGTTAGCTTCAGACCTGGTCGTTCCTATATCGACCACATATTCACCATTAGTCAGGTTTTAAAACACGGACATACGTATCAGCATCCGACAATGGTAGTTTCTCGTGACTTAAAAGCAGCATTTGACTCTGTTGACCGAGAGGTTCTGTGGCAGTGTCTGTCATTGAAAGGTGTACCTAAGAAGTACGTAGACCTTGTGAAGGCTCTTTAGTCGAACACCACCACTCGAGTCAGAACTTATGACGAACTGTCATCTGATTTTGCAACATCAAGTGGTATCTCACAAGGCTGTCCACTATCCCTAATTTTTTTCAACTTCATCATAGACATACTGATGGAAATAACTTGCTCGTCGACTGAATTTTCAGGAATTGATCTCCTACTATAGTAGGAGGTAAACTTATCGATTTAGAATACACATATGACGTAGTTCTGTTTGGTGAAGATGCTGACAAAATGCAGAATCCTTTGGTAGCACTGGGCAACAATGCCAGAATGTTTGCGATGCGCTTCTCCCTCCTCTAAATGCAAATTGCTGCTACAGGACTGGCCTCCATCGACAACTTCACTTATCTTGTGAGTCTGGTCAGCCTTAATGGGTTGGTGTCTGACGAAATCTACGCACGGATTGAGAAAGCTCGTTTGGCTTTTGCCGAATTATGCCACCTATGGCGAAGGTGAGATATCTATTCATCAATTAAGGGACGAGTATACTGCGCTGCAGTTCGTCATATTCTACTTTACGGCTGCGAAACGTGGTCATTAATGGTAGAAGATACTCGTAAGTTACTAGTATTTGATCACAGATGTTTCAGAAATATTACTCTCATCTGCAGGGATCACCGGGTAAGTAATAGTGAGGCTAGACGTAGGGTATTAGGGAATGATGGTAGATCAGTTGATAAGGTTGTGAATCTTCATCGACTGGTATGGTTGGGTCACGTGTTACGTATGCCTGAACACTGATTACCACGACGCGTCATGCTGACTAGTGTTGGAGACGTTTGGGAGGAAGCTAGTGGCGGCCAAAACGTGTTATCAGTGCTTGAAGTCACTAACTTCTAGTCTTAGCCATGTTGGTAGATGAAGACCACTTGATTGGGGTTCGCGTGACTATCGTAACTAATGGATAGAGACTCTGAGTGACATGGCTCAGAATTGATCACAATAGTGTAGGTGTATACACTCTCTGTCTTTCCTTAAACTATGAGATTATAATCACCTCATATCTTTCTTTCTACGAACAAATTCTTTCTTCCTGTACTATATCCTTATATGCAATCTTTCTTTTATATATTACCACCATTGAATTAACTACTTCTATCAATTTGGTGTTCATTTTGTTGTGCTAATGAGGTGTAACAACTTGGACCGATGTATATATGTGCCTGGTCCTACATTGTAGCTAATTGGATGACTACACCTGACCCTTACCCCACGGATTTTCATTGAAAGTACACCGATATAATTTTATAAGAAAGTTTGTACACATAGCCGTGATTTTGATGGAGTTTTGTTCTCTGAGCTGGATGGTTTGGTCGTGGAGCTTTCATCGTTCTTCTGAACGACATCATCAGCACAAAGTTCGGGTAGAAGTGAAGTGTTCGAATTTCTTCACATGTGGTTCACAGCTTGTCCTGTACACCTCAATGTTGATTGGTTCTTGTTGACCTTAAACCTGTCATTGTTTACTTCTTTATTTTGGTTGTATCCCCCATTGGTTTGATTTTTGTTTCTATGTTTGTTCATGATTTTTCTGATTGGTTGATAAATTTGATCGATTTCAGTGTGCTTGTTGATTGACCTAAGTGTCAAGCTTCTAAAAATTCTCTGGTGTTTTTGGAGCTGCCTCTATACAAAATTTCCACATTCGAATGTGTCCGCCGTTGTCCACGTGCATTGATATAAGCGAGGACATATCATGGCATTTGACTGCTAATTGATGTTCATGCAGGCGAAGATGAAAAGGGCGTCCGCTTTGTTTGATTTAGTGTTTTTCGCAGCTGGCACAATTTTTTTTGTAGATGGGAGATACAACTAAAACAAAGAAGTTAACAATGGCAGGTTTAAGGTCAACAAGAACCAATCAACATTGAGGTGTACAGGACAAGCTGTGAACCACATGTGAAGAAATTCGAACACTTCACTTCTATTCGAACTCTGTGCTGATGATGTCGTTCAGAAGAACGATGAAAGCTCCACGACCAAACCATCCAGCTCAGAGAACAAAACTCCATCAAAATCATCTATCTGAGATACAAATCTTCTCCACCATATGGCCATGCCTTAGACAGATGTCCATTGGACCACTCTTTTATACATGACCTTCATTTTTCTAGTTTATTTCATATCCCTCAAGAAAATGTAATAGTAAAGGAGTGTTTCGTTGACACGCAAATCAGATCTAAGATAACTGCTCTTGGGCTTTAGCGCGAAATTAAGAACACAACGGATAGCTTATACCTTATTATGAATTTGTATTTTATGGTTCAACTTTAACGTAATGTTAGTTGGCCAGTGGTTTAATACTCCCCGTCTATTTTTGATGTAAAGCATGGCTTTTAAGCGTCACATTCAAGTTCCGAGTAATCGTTCATTGGGTAAAGTCAGACATTTTATAGAAAGGCATCAATTTTGAAGTCATGGCTTGTTGATGTGAAACTTTTTGACAGTTACTCACCTCAGACAATGAACGAAGAGTTGCAAAAGTTCATGGATCGATCGAAGTCAGGTATTAACACCGTTGAATGCCGGCTCAGTGGTTTTGAGGTAAGGTGTTCGCGCGCGAGACCGAGGCTCCTGTGTTGAAGTCCCGTGTGCAGGATCATGGAAGCGCACTACTGGGAGGTTTCATACCATAACTGAACGTCTGTCCAGTGCTTCCAGGTTTTCAATAGTGGTCTAGCCTAGATCGACTCGCGATCTCAACTGTGGAGGTGCATAATTTTCAGCTTTCATTCATAACATCATCGTAAAATATCATGTGACACTGTGTTGTAATAAGATTCAATTCCAATCATACTGGTACACAGTTGTGTTCATTTTTTGTAATAACTCCAGTGCTGAATATAAGACTCTGAGATATGTTTTCTTATTGATATGTGAGCTAGAATTATAATGATTGGTTGTTTGCTTAGTCAGACTTGTACATAATCTGACAGGCGTTAGATGAGTTATATGCTCTCCATTCCTTATTATTATTGACCGACTGTTAATTGTTGTTGGAATGTGTCTGATTGTTATCGGTTTTGGTGTGGAAATATATTTACGTTCTAATCAGGCTAATCACGTGTTCTTGATCTGAGTTATGTTAAAGTCCTATAGAATAAACACTGGGAGATAATCTAGTGTAGATATTCGTTTAAGATAAATTAACATCCCATACGTGTAAACGTGGAGAACCGAGCGTTATAACACTTATCTATTCCTTTTAAGTTTCTTTTTCCAATCATTTACATTTATTTTTCCTGATTTTCTCCTAATTGTGCTGATTTTAAGTGTGACATTTTAAGTGATAGAAAGTAGTTGACAGGAAACCTTGGAACTAGGTTTTATTCTAGCTGATACTTATCAACATAGTGTACCAGTAATCTTGAGGAAATTCAGTCAGTCAGTTAGTGACAAAAGAACTTCGTACGTACGTACATCAGTTCGAGTTGCCATACCACATTATCACAGAGATGCAATTGTCGATTCAAATCCCGTAGTGGCAGATGTGGTAAGAGTATAAGTAGTAATCAGAAAGATTAGTGTTTGAGGATGTTATTTGAGGAGTACAATACAGTGAAATAAATTTGGAAAGAGAAAAGAAGAAGGGATATGAAGAATTCAGAAGATTAGAATTTGAGAGAACACAAAGAGTGTATGCACCTGCGCCATTGCAAACGATTTTGAGTCATGTCATTCAGGGCCTCTGACCATCGGTTGCTATCATCTCGTGGTCTCCAACCAGGTAGTTTACACCTACCAACATGACTCAGTCCACTTGTCAGTGACTTCATGGATTTTTGCCATGTTTTGGTCTGGCCGCCCCTAGCTTTCTTCCAATCTATTCCTATACCGTTAAACATCGCACGTCCGGGCAGTCGCTGGTGGTTGAGGAAATTAATGCTATGTGTGGTATTCGAACCCACATAATCCAGATTGGCAGTCTGATACTTTAACACTGAGCTATTGAGGCTGAAGAATGTCAGCTAACACAAAACTTGAGTCCAGAGTTTCCTTCCGACTATCTCCAACCAACTAACATCTCAACAGAACGCACACGACGTTGGGTCACTTAAATTAGTGGCTTCATTGCAATTTAGTTGATAGAATCTGCTTAGCGGTAAAAGATTAGATTAATGTAACATTGTTCACTACACAGTAATGCGTCAATTGTGAGGTGTAGCAATTTTGTTTAATACGTAATTTTGTACATTTACGTAAAATATTTTGATTTATGTTTGCCCATATTTTATAAATTGTTACACATTGAAGTGTACTATCAAATATATTTGTTGGTGGTAGGTAGAGCTTATGATGACTTACTCTAGCAGTTTTTATTTATAATGTGGCATCAAAAGAGAATGTAAATTCATTCATCGTTAAAAGGACTCTATTTTGTTCACTGAAAACATGTTGGTAGGTGTAGACTACCTGGTTGGGGACCGCGAGATAATAGCAACCGATGGTCAGAGACCCTGAATGACATGACTCAAAATCGTTTGCAATGGCGCAGGTGCATCCACTGTTTGTGTCCCCGAATGCCCTGGTATGGCCGAGAGTGGAGTGGGCCCGCCCCCCTCTCGAAATGCTCTCACATGGCCACGCGTATACAGCATCTGTCAGGAAAGTCCTACTCACTGCCTTCACGTGGCGGGGGTGTTGTTTACGAAAATGAGAGGATGAAAAGCGAAGTGAATGTCCGGCGCTTTAACCGGATCCCAAACCAATGGTGCACATGGGCTCCAGTATCCTGAGGAAACCAATGGCGTATGAACCAATCTTGGTCACCGGCTACCATGGGACTGCATCTCCTCACGATGCTCCACTGCCTTGTGGGTTAGACCTTTAGGTCAAAGGCTCGGAGTGTGGCCCCCTAAGAAAACCACCTGCGGCTTATGCCAATCTGGGCCACCTTTGGCGCCTTCGTGGTGCTATTCTGACTGTAAAAAGTCGGATCTATAACTCGTCGGTGAGAGCAGTTCTGCTCTATGCTTGTGAAACCTGGCCTCTCCGAATTGAGGACGTTAGATGACTCTCTGTGTTTGATCATCGTTGTCTCCGAAGGATTGCTGACATCCAGTGGCAACACCAAATCAGTAGTGCAGAGGTTCGGCATCGTGTGTTCGTGTGCAGAGACGATAATCCAATTGGTGTCACCATCTTGACACATCGACTTCGGTGGCTTAGACATATTCTAAGAATGTCGTCCCAGAGAATTCCACGTCGTGCGTTATTTGCTGACTCTGGGACTGGTTGGAAAAAGCGGAGAGGTGGTCAATGTATGACATGGTGTCGAAGTACGAAAGAAAGCTGTAAAGGGCTAGCCTGTGTTGGTCCTTGACGACTCCCTGGCTGGGGTCCGAGAGATGGTGCAACACAGTGGCTAAAGACGTTATCAGATATGGCTCAGAATAGAAGTCAGTGGCGATCCTGCTGTAATCTTCTTTTACTTTCTTCATAAAAAGTGGTTGTACCTTCGTTAACTGGAAGATTTCTTCTGGTTGTACCTTTCCATTTCCCCCATTATTATTATTATTATTATTATTATTATTATTATTATTATTATTATTATTATTATTATTATTATTATTATTATTATTACACTGCCTTACACTAATCTGATCGTTATTGTTCCTCTTTTTTTTCTTTTACGCCCCGTACCTTTCTTTCTTCCCATTCTCATTGTTTTGTGTGGCGCATATATATTTGGTGCCCTCTTGTACCAATATTTACGTGTTCAAATAAATATTAATAAATAAATTCTAATCTTCTGAATTCTTCGTGTTTGTTTTTTCCTCTTTCCAAATTTATTTCACTGTATAATACTCCTTGAATAACATCTTCAAACACTAATCTTTCCGATTACTGCTTATACTCTTACCACCTCTACCACTACGAGATTTGAATCGACTACTACATCTCTGTGATAATGTGGTATGGCAACTCGAACTGATGTACGTACGTACGAAGTTCTACGTTGTCACTAACTGACTGACCGAAAACTTCATCATGGAATACACTTTTATGTAAAATCCAATTTTTGAAAACTGAAAAATTCTCAAATATTAAATTGTTAAATTTCCCTTAATTTACTACTAGTGTAAAACTGGTCCATTTGAAGAGCATTCACATACGTTGTATGGAATTAGTGAAGTACCGAAATGGGAAAAAGTTAATTCTGGTTTAATTAAAATGTATAAAGGTGAAGTAAGTTACTTTTATGCTCAGCTCCTCATTTCAGTTGATTTATACTGTTTGAATTGTAATCAATGCCTTTTATGGATACATTAGTTATATGTTAAAGCAATCATAGATTTCATCGGTTGGTATACAGGATTCAACATAACTTGTTGCATAAACGTCAATGTTTTTGAAATGTTGATTACTGTGAACGATAAACGTGATCTGTTCTTTTCTTCTCAATACTGCCTAGCCAGACTTAAAGAACATTCTGATCAACTAAAAAACTACTTTCCAATAGTTGCATATGTATATATAACCTTTGGCTTTAAGGTGATAGTTTCCCACATTGAGATGCACTCAAATCAATAATGAAATTATCTCGCTAGAATCCTCTGTGAATCCTGTTAATGTACTTCAAATGAAATGAGTCCATTCTTGTCATTCTTTTCTTTGACCCAGTTAACGATGCATTGCTAAGTGCTAATCAGAATAGGTAGTCACGTTCGAAAGCCACTTTATTTACTTTGGTATGAGTAAACCGATAGTTGGGACTTCTTTTTGTCTCCAATTACTTAACAGTAATTAATTAATAATCGTATACAGATTATAGTAGGCTTATTAAATATTATCTCTATTCAGTCCGTAGTTTCTAATATCTAACTTTTGTTTAGTTTAATCATATTTTCCCATAGCAATCAATCTCTCAACTTGATTCTCTTTATTTTTTTAAAATAATTTTTAGGTTTTAGAAAAATTTCCAGTCGTTCAACATTTCCTATTCGGTAGTTTATTATCATTTGATAGAGTACAAAATAGTAAACCTTTGGGTGGTAGTGGAATAAATATTGGTGGAGGTTTTAGTCAACGAGGATTTATTCCTTCAAATATTGATTCATTTGTAAAACCGATTTCATCGACAATCCAACAATCAAATCAACACGATGAAAAATCGTAGTTACGAATTAAAAGTCGAGGGATTATACAATAAATATTATTCTACATATAATAATAAACACGACTTTTTTCTCTAATTAAGTCTCAATCTTTTTTTATGGATTGCTTAGCAATTTTCGATGAATTTTATCTTGTTCACATAATTGATCATGTATATAGATGCTTGCAATGACTATGATTTTCAACGTTGGCTTTTTTGTTTTGTTCATAAATGGTTTCGTAATATAAGTTTGAAATTGGTCATATGCAACGTAGGATCTAACATGAATGTGTATCACCTCGAACTGCTACACATCAAATGAGTACAAGTGAGAAAATTAACAAAATGAAAGGTAGATGAAGGTAAATAATAACAACGTCCGAGCTATTTCATAGAATGAAAGTATAGAATAACACTAAGCTTACTGATTTTTTAAAAGAAGATAATTACTGAATACAACTGCGATCGATCTCAGGACACACCACTTTATGCCTTAAAATATAGGTTACGATTAATTATTCGTTCCAATTCTGGGATTCTGAATCTCTCCACTCTGATTAAACCAATAGTTAGTGATAAATATATTTTTGTTATATCCCAATGAATAGAAAAATTATATTTCTGACGTTTCGTGACTTAATATAGTTAGTGGTTTCAGAGACTAATAGTATGTCTTGGTTTGGCTTCGGCTAGTATGATTTTACCATATTCGTGTATTAACCAGCGTATATATATATATATATATATATATATATATATATATATATATATATATATATATATATATATATAAAATTCATAATGATTCATCAGTCACTCAGTGCCACCTTTCTAAGATGCTTATCTAATTAGGGGAGTCTTATTAGAATCTATCTACTTGATGCTGTTGAGAAGTTGGTGACCTTCAAATAACATATGCTCTATTCTAATTTTTTTCTTTCATCACTGTTAATCATTCTCTCCGTCGACGTGAACACCCTCTATGACGTTAATTATTATTTTCTAAGATTGACTTTAATATTCGCCATTGAACTTCAGAGTTATGATTACTATTTTAAAGTATTGATAACTAATCATCGATACGTTTAATTGGTTATTTAATCCACAAACCTACCATTGGGTAGACTTCTCGACCTTGAGTATGCGGATGATATTGTCTTACTATGCGATAATGCCCAAGCCATGCAATCCGCACTTAATCAGTTGACAATCAATGTCCGTAGGTACGGTACGTGCTTTGCACCTTCGAACTGCAAAGTACTTCTACAAGTATCGTCGTCATTTCATTCTGTTGGAAAAAACGGAGAGGTGGTCAGTGTATGACATGGTGTCGAAGTACGAAAGAAAGCTGTAAAGGGCTAGCCTGTGTTGGTCCTTGACGACTCCCTGGCTGGGGTCCGAGAGATGGTGCAACACAGTGGCTAAAGACGTTATCAGATATGGCTCAGAATAGAAGTCAGTGGCGATCCTGCTGTAATCTTCTTTTACTTTCTTCATAAAAAGTGGTTGTACCTTCGTTAACTGGAAGATTTCTTCTGGTTGTACCTTTCCATTTCCCCCATTATTATTATTATCATTATTACACTTCTTTACACTGATCTGGTCGTTATTGCTCTTCTTCTTTTTTTTCTTTTGCACTCGTTACCTTTATATTCCTCCCCATTCTCATTGTTTTGTGTGGCGCATATATATTTGGTGTCCCCTTGTACCAATATTTATATGTTTGTAGTGTCGACTATTATGTTAAGCCCATATACCTTACTCTAGCTTACGGACAGCTCAATCTATTGATTCTAGTTGAGTCACATTCTGAACTTGTTAATTATTCGCTTATCAACCTTGACTGTTTTTATATGATCACGTAAGTTTGTGTACACTTCTTATCCCATTATTCATCACATGTCTGTAATGTTGATTAACGCTTGGTTAAAGGGGGAGTTGGCTTACCAGCCATTTCCACTGCCCGTCGTTTTGCTTTGTTCTATTCCATTCGCTTCATATACAAAATATATGTATCCAAAAGTCCATTCTCGTTATTTGACTTATTTAAGTAGATGATTATATACGAGGACAGGCGATAACAAGCATTCATACGATCTACTTGGAGTCAGATCCCGGGCCACTAAAGTGGAGAGCCCGTCAACAAACATTGTCCGATCTAAATTATGACGAAATACAGGGCCCCACATGTTCAAATATATAAATATATTACACAGTTTACAAACGTTGGCATAGTTATTTAATTTGTGATATACTGCTAAGTGTAAACTGTAATAAAGTATTCCAAACAAATAAAGTAAGAATAATGTTAAAAGATGAATTGTCAATCAGTAACGGATAATTTCAATGGTTGAGACCATGAGTCAACGGAAACTAGACCACCATTGAAACCTGGCTCCAAGAGGTATTTCCTGGAGTTCTAGTGAGACGCAGTGACCTATGAAGTTCAACTGGGTCTATTGTCAGATAGTAACTCAATGAAGACAATGGTGGATGTGTCGCTCAATTTCGTGAATTAGTTGGAGTTAGACAATAACACCGTTGGATGCCGGCTCAGTGGTCTTATGGGTAAGCGCTCGCGCGCGAGACTGATAGATCCTGAGTTCGGATCTCGCGAGGTGGGATCGTGGATGCTCACTACTGAGGAGTACCACACTAGGACGAAACGGTCGTCCAGTGCTTCCAGGCTTTCCATGGTGGTCTAGCTTTAATTGACTCATGATCTCAACCATTTAAATTACTATAATATTCACAAAAACCCTTCTGATATGAAGCAACGAAAAAATTGTGTGAAATGTGTAAATGGTTATGGACTAAAGTTTTGAATGGATATTCTTATTATAAATGCTTGAGGTGATAGTTCTAGAATATTAAGATGATTTTATTACGCAATGTGATGGAATTTTTGGAAACTTGGAAAAACAAGCATATGAGTTTAACTTAATAGATCGTGTTTACCAGTAATCGAAGTAAAGCGAGGTCTAAATGTCATCAAAACAACGGAAGATTAACTACTAGCATTTCGGATATAAAAGTCAGGTATAAGCCCTTAAACTGTTATAACTTCTAGAAGTCTTAGTAACGTAGAGTTGGGCTGTCTACTGATAACCTTGAACGAATTCATTTGAATAACGTTATGCCTTGTAAACTAGTAGGCGGTGTGCTACTGGACAGTTTTCCCAGAGTCATGTTTTTTTAAGTACGCTCATTAAAATGAGAAAACCGTCTTTCTGTCCTTCATGTTTCGTGTAAACTAGTATGCAGTTGCAGGCAACATATGACGGATATTCATCTGATTTTGTTTGTGTTATTAAGCACAGGATTGTGTAGAGTGAGATCTACTTCGCAGCAGAGAATATGTTTCTCAAAACTGCTTTTAGTATTTTATGGATTTTCCCGATTATTTGGTCACCTTCGAATGACGGTTGGACAGAAACTTTCTTGTCTTCGGGATTTTTTCTCCATGGATGTTTTCCGGTTTGTATTATTTCGTTTTACTTTGGTGTTAGGCGCTACATTTCTTTATAATTGATTGAGGGTATCCATTTTCGCACAAATAATTGTTTGCGGAAACACACTGGATCTTGTTTAGTGAACATGAATATTTGTCTAGAAAGCATTCATCTACTGACATTTATAATCAGTAGCTCAAGTTTTTCGTATCATTTTTCACTATTCATTTGGTGATGGCTAAGGATTTGTTATGCATGGAAATTTCCCATCGTTTATACCTTACAACAGATTATTAGAAAGAAATTCTCCAATACTTTTCTTTGTTCAAGTTTACAACCTAACTTACTTTCTGCAATATTTTGTCAAACTATGTTGACTGATCAGTGATTGATAGCCAGTCTCGGTTGCTGACCTATTGCAATCGTTCATATTTTAAGTGGTAAAACTCTATAGATCTGGTTTTATTAGTTCCGACAAAGAGTAAGAGTGTGGTAAAGGGTTATCTTTTTTTGTAGATTGACTACATGAATTAGAGATTAGGTGTATATGTAAATACAGCTAAATGTAACATAATTTCTCTAACTACTGCGAGCGTGTAAATGTACTTGTAAAACAATCGTCTGTCAATATCAAATATTCTAGTTTTTAGTGGTTTGGCTAAGATGTGCAGTTTACAATTGAGTTAACTGCTATGAATCCGGTGTTTGTCTTGCTGTGCTAATGTGGTGTGCCAACTTGGACCGATGCATGTATGTCCCTGGTCCTATGTTGTAACTGACTGACTATTTAATAATTTATATTTAATGCCTAGCGACAGTGTTGTCTGAGGTCTATCCGTGATATAAGCTACAAAAGATGATGATTGAGATCATGGATCGGTCCCGTTCGCGGACTCGTGGATCGCACTGCTGAGGAGTCCCACAATAGGACGAAACGTCCGTCCAGTGCTTCCAGGTTTACAATGGTGGTATAACATTAGTCGGTTTATGATCTCAATCAAAATCCTAATTATCCCCACAACCCCATACTGATAGAAAAGATGAGTTTCCATCCAATGTTTGGGAATAAAGCTTGCTTTATCGATCATGGAAAAAAAATGAACCAGTAATGTTCATAACTTTTTAATAGTTAACCATTTTGGAGAAAGAAAAGAAAATTGTTTGAATGATGAAATGATTTATGAAACTTTTATTTATCTCTATTAGAAAGGGGTTGAATAAGGTAATTATAACGATCAAATTAAACATTTATAGCAGATTAAAGACATAGACCAATGGTTATGTAATTATATCATATCTAATCAAAGAATTAGTAAACTATTTCGATAACATATCCATTTAATAATTATTACGCAACAATTAATCAATGTATTTTAGAAACATTTTGTAAAGAACTTCTGTTATTTCCCACTCTGTAGTGTTGTATGTCAATAATAATGGTAAAGAGAGTCAGTGTACAAAGTCATTTTACTTGAATATTTGAATGAGAATCTTCACTTTGTCAATATTCGTAATTTTTAGACTATCAAAATAATTCATATCAGTAGGGTTTTGTGGATATTATGGTAA